GAAGTACGAAGAAGTACGAGGACACGGGACATAAAATGGCCCGCTAGGTTTAAGGATTATGTAATGAAGAAACTGTAAAACGTAGAAAAAAAAAATAAATAAAAATCAAAATATGTTTAGTCTATGTATATCTAACTAGGAATTAAGAAAAATTGAGAATACATAAGGAAGGATGTTAGCTATAAAATTTAAGAATAAGAAAATTAGAATCGAATGTAAGGATTCATTGATTTAAAGGCGTAATTTAGGTGATTAGGGATATAATTGTATAAGATTTGTTAGACACTAGAAACATGCCATCAGAAAATAATAGGTACCAAGAAAATGACGAACTCGTTCCGCAACCACGTATCCATGTCGAAATAGAAAATTTGGACAGTGTTGTCCTAATGAAACTCCGACGAGCCAGTAGGAGCAAACACGAAGACCATGGTAGCAGTAGCCAACCAGAGCCAGTAACCACGAAGGAAGTGTTGTGAAAAGTGAAAAGTCAAAAAGGGTGTAAGTGTAACGTGTAACTAGCAAACCAGCGAGACCACCCTTGAGCAGCATCAGCATCCAGATCGTAGCTATCCTAGCTATGATACCTACTACTGTGAGATTGACAGCGACACTACAGGCCACCAACCAATGAGTCGTAGTGGAAGGCCGCAATATAGGTCCAATCGATATAGGCCTAATGAGTAACCAGCGCTTCAAGTAAACTTTGCTACAAGCAAGGATAATTATCTTGTAAGATTGAAATTTGTTTTGTGTCGTTCTAGCATCAACAATTTTGAAGGAAAATATTAAATGAAAATTGTATTAATGAAGAAACTTAAGGAAAATTTTTGATGCGAGGAGAAAAAAAAAACTTATCTAGTGTTGAGTAAAGATTTATAATTAATCTTTAATAATTATTTTGTTCATGACGTTGCGAAATTACACAGGAAAAGTTAATTTCGTATTACTTTTGTTGTTTAGTAAAATTTTGAAAAATAGCAGATATTTATGAGAAATGTGACATTTAGGATGGAAAAGCACGTACATAATTAGGTTGAACGATCTGATAAATACGCGGATAATATAATCGTGAAATTTTTGAATTTGAGAAAAGTAACCCATAACTCACAGAGGGTTCACCGACCGAATCTCATTTTACAAGGCAGGCACCTAATTTATGGTGAAATTTTATATTATAATGGGACAATTGAATAAGAATTGTCCGAAATTATCTTATTCAATATAATTTCGGTTTTAAAGGGCGGAGGGATGTGATGATCCAGAAATATGACCCTATAATTACAAAGTCTTTACTGTAAAAATTAAATAAATAATCAAACAATCAAAAACTTAATTCCGGTATTTTGAAATCTGTATCGATAAATTAAAAAATAAAAACCAACTAAGCAATCGAATTACGACACCCGGAAGTGTCATCTAAATTAAATTCTTAAAACAGATAAAAACGAGGACAGTATGACATCATTAATAACCGATCAATGATCTTTTTCGTTAGCGAAGGCCATGTGTAACTAATTAAATCGAATGAATTATGGCATTTTTTGAACCCAAAACGTTTTGACCTCGATAAATCAGTATATTACGACATAATTAGTCGATTTTTGGGCTACAAAATTGATAAAATATTCAAGGAAATTGCATCATTCTTTTAATAACAATGAGGGCGTCCAATGAAATTCGAAGTCCTAAGTTAACGACCGCCTATATTGACGATTTGGGGGAAATTTAATAATAATTTTGTGGGGAGAGCGATTTGATATAAAACTCGCGGAAGATAGTTCCCAGTGATCTGAAGATAGTTCCCAGTTGATAGTGCCAGTTAAGAGTCGAGTCGTCCATTTGAAGTAAAGTCGGTCCAGTTTCGCGAAAAGTTTCTTTTATGGCCTATGGCCTCGGGTATAAATTAACTTAGAAAATTTACGGAAAATCGAGAAAGTAATAACAGTTGAAATTTCGTTCAATCAATTATGTGCATGAAGCTAAATATTTTGAGTAGTTAATTAAATAATTTTACGTGTGTTTTATGGACAAAATGTAAGTACTTTATAGTGACAAGATTTATTTTGATGAACATGACTTTGTGTGAAATTTTACTAGAAAACTTTTGATTTTAAATTTAACGGTGGAACTTTATTACAACGAAATTAATAACTTGAGTGTTTTATGAAGGAAACATTATCGCATAACTTTAATTACCTTCACATATAATGACATTTAAATGTGCAACAAAAATATGAAGAGTACTTACAATGCATTTAACAATATTCAATTTTGAGTTGGAAATTATGAATTAAACAGTTGGATTTATTAGCTAGGCATAGGAATCCGAAAATAGAATTTGTTCTAAGAAACTATTAACTGCAATAGGAAATTTTAAAAAGAAATTTGATGACATAATAGAATTGTTTTCTTAAAATATTGGAAACTAGTTAAAAGGAAACTTATATTAGAAATTGTCTGATTAAATAAACTAATTAAAAGGAAATAGGATGTTTCGTAAATTAAACTTGTTCATGAAATAGAATTGTCTTAGAATATGGGAAAGCCGTTAAAAGAATTTATTGTCCATGAAATGAATTTTGAATTAGGGAGTTTATTTTACAAGTAGAGGTTATTGTAAGATTTTATGAGAATAAATTAGTTGTTAAACAAATAGGTAATTATTTTGGGTTTTTATAAGTAATGGACTTAGAGATTTTAAGGAATTATTTGACCGAGGTAAAGGGTAGTTATTAGGAATGATTTGGATGTAGTAAAATAAATAGAAATATTATTTTGAGAAATAGTATGAATAGGGCGTTTCTTATTAAGTAGGCATATTTCAGTGGTCCGTATAATAACAATATAGAACGGATGTGAAGTATTAATTTTACAGAATTAAAGAAGGATGTAAAGTATTGGGAGATATTTGGCTAATTGATTTTTGAGTTTTATGTGAAATAAAATATAATTTAGTACACCTCCTTAGTTTGTTTCTCTCTCTTGCAAATAGACCCTCTTCCACAGATTTTAGATAGCAAGCTCCAAGTATATAAACACCATCAATATACCGCTCGCCATTTACCATCTAACTAATTTACATAGAGTACTTGGGGCAATTTGCTACAGGTTTTGTAACAAGAGTGCGACGTCTTTGGGATGTCTTTATTAAAACGCCCCAAAGACATGAGCATACGTTTAAAAGATGTTCTTGAATGTCGTTTATGTACTTACATCTTAGAAAATGTCTTTAAGATGTCTGTGTGCTGTCGTCTGGGAAGTTGAATTTTGATTTTGAAAACTCAAAATTTGAATATTCCTATATGGCTTATTTTGATTGAATTGATTTTATAGGTATCTCAGAAAGAGCTCGGCGATTATTCAAATCAATCAGGAATAGGCAAAAGTTGAATTATAGGATTTTGAAAATTCAAATTTTGAAATTTTCCCGGCTCTTGATTGGATTTGTTCTATAATGTCTTGGACTCAATGGGCCCAATAATCAAGCCAGAAGCTGTGATTTTTAAAATTCAAATTTTGAATAATAATTCCTGGCTTCTGATTGGGTTAGATTTATTTCTCAGAAACTCCATTAGGTAATTAAATCAAGCCAATTTTATTTTGATTCAATCAAGATCCAGGAATACACGAAAAATTAATTTTGATTTGAAAAATTCAAAATTTCAATTATCTCGGCTCTTGATTGGATTTGTTCCACAATGTCTTAGGAGAAAATCAATCAAAAATCAAGCCAATGGGCCCAATAGTCAAGCCTGATGCTATGATTTTCAAAATTTTGAATATAAATTCCTGGCTTTTCATTGGGTGAGATTTACTTCTCAAAAACAATTCCATTAGGTAATTAAATCAAGCCAAATGTTATTTTGATCCAATCAAGATCCAGGAATAGACGAAAAATCAATTTAAATTTGGAAAAATCAGATTTAAAATTTTCACGGCTCTTGATTGGATTTGTTCCATGATGTCTTAGGAAAAAATCAATCAAAAATCAAAGCAATTTGGGCCCAATAATCAAGACAGCAAAGCTGTGATATTGAAAATTCAAATTTTGAATAATAATTTCTGGCATCTAATAATTCTAATAGGGTTAGATTCATTTCATAGAAACAATTCCATTAGGTAATTAAATCAAGCCAATTTTATTTTGATCCAATCAAGATCCGGGAATAGACGAAAACTCAATTTTGATTAAGAAAATTCAAATTTTAAATTTTTCCGGTTCTTGATTGGATGTGTTCCATAATGTCTTGGGAAAAAATCAATTAAAAACCAAACCAGCTGGCCCAATAATCAAGCTAGAAGCTGTGATTTGTAAAATTCACAAATTCTGAATATTCCTGGATTTTGATTGGGTTAGTTTTCTTTCTCAGAAATTGAATCAAATCAAGCCAAATTTACTTCAACCCAATCAAGAACAAGGAATAAGCAAAAGTTGAGACTCTAGCTTTGTTCCAAGATCCAACCCGGCAAAAAACCGTAATATTACCGTCAGGATTCTGCGCAAAACCTAAAATTTTTGCGTTGAAAACGAAATTCTCATACAGAGTGGTTCCGAAACCGTTTTGGGACATTTTCCCACTTTTGGATTGCATTAGGCGTCATATCTCAGAAGAAAAAACTAATCTTATTAAACAGCCGGGAACAACCAAAAAATCAATTTGGATCAGAGGAGTTCGCAAAAACTTCAATAAGATCATTTTCTGGGTCTTTTATTGTTTCCTAAAGTCTAAAGTAGGCCCGAACTTATTGAAATAGCAAATTTTGTTTCTTTTGCAAGAATTTTTTCTATACTATATACTGTAGGTACTCATTTTCTGAGCAACTCAATAGCATTCTGTCTCTATTTTAATCCTGCACTTAGTTTAATTGAGGTCAGGATCTATGTATATGAAATTCTTACTTATCTGTCTATTAATTCTAAGACATATTAAATTATGAGATCAACTAAATGTATCTGATGGACACCTGCAATTTATAAAATACATTCTAATTCTTACCCGGTATATCCGGCATCATGTCCAGCCCCTAAACCTCCATAGCTTCCACCTGAAGCTGGATGACCGCCATTTCCAGCGTTAGAGCTGGAACTGGAACTAGCAAAAGAATGAGTTCCTGCACCTCCTGCACCTCCTAATAAATATCATTTTTAAAACCAACATTCAAATTAAAAAAATCGTAGGTACTCACCTGGAATATTGTTCAAAAGACTTTGTACGTGTCCAATAATGTCCGAAGGATGTTCTACATTTGGTGCGTAATCTATAATACATTATTCAAATTCAATCTAAATTTTTTACTCGAAACTAATCAATTCTAATGTTGTACCAGGTCAAAAACTAAATTTAAATAACCAAAACGGTTGATACAGTTACAATACGTGATTGGTTTTTCTGTGGTTTGCAAAAGAAGCTTTAATTAGAATTTACCGTTTTAGTGAATATTGAAATACTTAAATCTTACCTCCCAAATAAATTGGGGCTCCGCCACCACTATTAGCACCGCTACTGGCACTAGCACTGCTACTAGAACTCGTATACGAGTTTCCTCTTCTGACTCTAATCAAAGGGTTGAGGAGTTCTCTTCTATTTCTGATGTATATTGGAGCTGATTCGTGTCCGAATTGGTCAATTAGGTAAAAAGATTTTGGGATGTATTCACCTGGAGCTAAAAATTAATTAGGAATTACCAGTTTAGTTGACTTTGCAGGTTTTTATATAGTTGATATTAATGACGGTATAGGTAGGTATTTCCAAAAATAGACAATTTTTGTTTGTTTAAGTAAATTATTTAATGACTAAAGGAATGATTTCTATAATGTATTTATAAGAATTTAACCAAATGATGTCATAGAAAAACTCATTATTTGTTTAATTAAGTAAGAACGGATCTAAGAAAGTAATTAAATTCAATTAAATATAATTATATCTTACACTCAATTTTTTTTTTTAAATAAATTACTTAATTAAACTTATGTACCATCTAAGGAAATTTTGAATTTCTTACCATAAGCCAAAGTAAGGCCCACTGCAATCACGAAAAACACAAATAATTTTCCACAAATCATAATAAAACTGGTTTTATTTGTATGTTAATTGTTTATTGCTAATCGTTGAACGAAGTCGGTCTTGAAAATAAACGATCATCGATGCTTCCGCCGCATTTTACATGGTTCGAAAAGAAGAATGTTTTTTCCCACCACTGAAATTTCGTTATTGTCCAAATTATATTTTGAAGGAATTACCAAGTTTTTGTTTGTTTATTTACTTTGATGAGGCAGGAGATGTTTGAAAAAAAAAAATTGAAATGGTCTCAGTTGTTTGAACTTTCTTACAAATATTGAGAATAAATGGGACTTTTAGCTTGAATTGGTCATTTGTTTTTCGAAATATTGGGGTCCTTCAACTAAATTTATTGTTAAAGCAGAAGACATTTTCAATTTTCTCTAGGAAGATTTTTATCTGAATTGTGATTCATGAAATTCAAATTATGAATATTTCCTGGCTTTTGATTGGGGTAATTTTAATTATAATTAATAAACATAAGCGAAGTTGACCCAATTTAAGAGCCAGAGAATAGAAAAAGTTGAATTTTCTATCAATCGAATCAAAACAAGTTGAACCTATCAACAGCTGGGAATAGTCCTCCAGAAGCTGAATTTTGATTTTTGAAAATCAAATTTTGAATATTTTTGGCTCTTGATTTTAGATTACTCACCATCAGGGTGAATTTTTAGATTTCTCAGTTTTCCTGAGGTCCTTTTTTCATTCAAATCCCACAATAAATCAACTGAAAGCTGAAATTTTTAGCGATTCCTTATCCTAGTAGAGGACTACAATCCCTGGAATGGTAGCTACCTATTTATAGAATTAATGTTGATTAGAAATAGAATTTTGAGTGGAATCTCTCTATACTTTCCCTGTGACTGATTTCCTTTAATAAGTAAGTTGGTATCATTATTATTCTAAGACATAAATGTTTTTTTTTTGTTGTTTCATAAAGCCCTAATAACTTTATACCTAGATATTCGTATCAGTGAACTAAAAAATTAATAAATCAAAAACTTTGAATTACATTCGCTTATTTATACAGGGTGTCCCCGTTCAACTGGTCAAAAATGCTAGAGTATATAGAAGTAGTTTGAGATAGGACACCGATGGTCAGTGGCGTACCTACCATTTTTTCTTCAAAAACTTTAACACACATGTGCTGCAAGTCCGTCCCTGGATAAATCAAATCAGTTGCAATTCCTTAAAAAGTTGCATCACCACCTATCATTTAAATCCAGAAAATTTCATTAAAATCGCTAAAAGTGTTTTCATAACACAGGGAAAAATTCGATTTTTTTGTAAAATTTCAACACCCTGTATTTTTCTATGGTTCCTCTACCCTAGCATTTTTGACCAATTGAACGTGGACACCCTGTATAGCTATATGGATGACTGAATGTGTTTATAATGGTTTTTATATGTAAGATAAATAAATGGAAAAATATGTTTACTTTATAAGAAAGGGTTTGATTTTTTTGTCTTTTGATGTGCAGTTAGTTTTATAGGTTTACCCGTTGTGGTTAGACGTATTGCGTTCGATATAATTTTAATATTTTAAGAATCGATTATGTAATTGATACTTAATAATTCTTAGTCCATTTCCTAATAATAACTCTGTGTAAAACAAGAGAAGACCTATTATATTTGTTATATAGATAAACTCCAAATACTGTAAGTTTTTGAAAATTTCAATAATTCGGCCCTGTTATACGAAACAGGGATTTTTTGGTGTACTAACACCTAATCAATGGTAGGATTGGTAGGTACTCCAAAAGTTTACGTACTACGCAGTCAGCAGTGTATTTTTTCTTTTCTCACTTTCTCATCTTTAATACTTTATTACTTTGCCTTTATTTTTCGGTTTGGTTCGGATCCCCTGTATTGATAAGGTTTCAGTTTTAGTTGAGTACTAAATTTCCAGTCGAGGAAGTACCGACAGTCGTGACGTTGAAATCGGAGTTTTGACAAGTATTTCCCGATTATCGATTATTATTAGTGTAGTGTTTATTGTACGAATAATTTACTTGATTTTGACCTTTGGTAAGTACCAATACTTTGTGATTTTTTGTTGTAAATATTCAAAATCAGTGTCCCCGATTTATTTTTTGAATGAACAACCATGAATTTTTCTGATAAAATTTTCAAACTTGTGAGCCTCTGCTACTGACAATAAGTCTAGAGAAGTTGCTCCAAAGCTTTCAAGCCCGATTGACAATACAAGTGCACTTATGAGAACTTGAACCAAGTAATTTGACAGTCAGCCTAATGTAGAACCTATCCAACTGGACTTGAATAAGCAATTGATAGATCCAAGTATCGTCCAAAGTAACGAGCGCATACCACATCCAAGGGCTACTGTTACTTGATCCAAAGTACATTTGAACCGTGGCTTTATTCAGGTTTTTTTGAGGATCAATAATTATACATGTTAAGTCTGGAAATCATGAGCCTGGAACAATCAGAACTTGCTTCGATTTTTTAAATTCTTGTACGTGATTTTTGTACCCATTTCAATAGTTTTCTCTTCTTGAAACCAATTCTCAAGCAACCAAAAGAAAAATCGGAAAGAAATCTTAAAAATCTATCTGTGAAAGGCTGATAATGAATGATGAAGTCGTGATTTTTGCCATTTTTCATAATTAGTTTCTGCACAGCTATTTGTACCAATTTGGAAATAGCTATAAGATGGAGGTACCACTACTAGAAATTCCAAACGTTTTTCTGTGGAATCTCCCGCCATTGAGTGTCTCAAAAAAAATAAAAACTCTAAATAAGTCGTAATTTTTGTTTGTATAGTCTCTATAAGGCTGTTTAGGCCAGTTACTGTTGGTAAATGTTATAGCCACTATAACGCAACTAACACAAACACTCCTCTAAACTTTGGGTCATTGCTAGTAGTGTCTATATAGTCGCAAACATTTTTAGAAAATTCCGAGACTTGAAATGTCGCGCTTTCAATTTTTGGCTAAATAAATGTGGCATATTAGATTTCGAGCATTTGGGTGTAAATGTTTTCAATAACTTTCTCTTCAAATGATAACTATTTTTATTAAATAATTGAAATTGCATTTCACTGATATCCAGGACAACAATTCGTGGTTTGATTATTTCTTTTTGGTAATTGTTGTCCCCTGGGGAGGCCGTCCGCCATAATAGGTTAGGATCCCATTTGTTGCACGATTATACTATTTATGGTAAGTGTAGCAGTGGGGCACTACCGAATGCCGGCGAGAAATGGTTGAATTGTGATTGGCTGTTGGATGTCAGCTGCACAAGTGAATTCAGCCTAATGGGGCTTTAATAGAATAGCTGAATGCTCTCCAACTTTTCCAGATGGAAAGACAAGTGATCCAGTTCTAAATCGACTTGAAAGTGAGAAAATTTCAACCAAAACTCAACTTTAGAACTCAATAACTTAATTATCCGGTTGAGCCATTGATGTGAAGCCCAATTTGCTCTTCAAAATTGTATATAATTTATGTCAAAATTATTGACAATATGGGCAATATGAATGCTTATGCTTATGAATTCAGAACTCATAAGCATGTCGTGATTTCAAAAAATTGACCCACCCAAAACTGAAATTTTCTTTTGGATTTTTTTTCTCACTTACAAAGACATTTTGAATTGATGTTCAGGTATTGTTTTTCACTAATTTTAACATGCTCTATCGATTGGTGTGCACCAGAGAGCTTCGTTGTACTGTTCTGGTTTCAGTTTCATTTCCTGATCCATTTTGAGCACCAAAGTTAATGTTTAATGAGCTACATAAATTCAATTTCTGATTATTCTTGGCTCTTGAAGGTTTAATTTTACATCTTAGGCACCCTCAGTCTTGAAACAGTCAATTATTAAACTAAAAGGGCTTCTAAAGGAGCTATAATGTGTTCAAAAGGCACAAGATTGGGATCCAAATTCTCAAAAAAGCTACTGCCATGCGTCAAGTTCTATTTGAATTTTGTGTATTTTGACTGTTTTGAACCCATTATAAGATCAAAATTATTGCACCAAAGAGATTCGTTGTAATGTTCTGGTTTCAGTTTCATTTTCTGATCAAGTCAAAATTTAAAAAAGTCTAAACATAAAAATGTTGACTTTTTCTAAGGGTACTCCTTTGAATTTTTATATCAAATACTTTGAACCCTTATATTTTGGTATCTATACAAGATAAAGAGATGAAATTTTCAGCGATGATAGCCCTAATTATATTTCGAAATATTAGATATTAATTATCATCGGCACTTCAATACTTTTAGAGAAAATCCAGTATAATATTTTAGTCAAAATTTTGACTAAAGGTTAACTTTGAAGCCGAATAACTCAATACCTAACTATATGAGCAATTGACCTCAAATTTAGCTCAGTTAATACAGAATTTAATGCTGTTTGAAACGGTATATAATTTTTGATGTTATAGGAGTGAATCCAACTAACACAAACTAGCCTTAACTTTGGCACATTTCTAGTGGTAGTCGCTAATATTTTTAGCTATCTTCAAAATTCCGCGACTTAAAATGTAAAGTTTTCAATTTTTGGTTGGGTAAATAAATGTGGCATTGGACTTCGAGCATTTGGCTGTAAATGTTTTCAATAACTTTCTCTTCAAATGATAAACTATTTTTATTGATTAATTGAAATGGCATTTCACTGATATCCAGGACAGGACAACAATTCATGGTTTGACTATTTCTTTTCGGTAATTGGTGTCCCCTGGGGAGGCCGTCCACCATAATAGGTTAGGATCCCATTTGTTGCACGATTATACTATTTATGGTAAGTGTAGCAGTGGGGCACTACCGAATGCCGGCGAGAAATGGTTGAATTGTGATTGGCTGTTGGGTATCGGCTGCACAATGTGGTTTCAAGTGAATTCAGCCCAATGGAGCTTTGATAGAATAGTAGAATGCTCTCCAACTTTGCCAGGCAAATTTTTTCATGTTTACCAGATCAGCTTCACTTTAATAGTTTTTGAGAAAATCGACTTCAAAGTTTTAGAGAACATTTTAACTTTGAAGTTCAATAACTTAAAATCTGTTTGAGCCATTGATGTGAAATTTAGCTCAATTTGTAGAGAATTTAATGCTCTTCAAAATGATATATAATTTATGTTAAAATTATTCACAATATGTGCAATAGTTTATAACCATGTCAGAATTTCAAAAAATTCACCCACCCAAAAATGAAATTTTCTTTTGGATTTTTTGTCTCGCTTATACAAGGACATTTTCAATTGATGTTAGAGTTGTTTTCGACTAATTTCAACCTGCTCTATCGATTGGTGAAATTGAAATTTGAAAAAATAGAGAAATAGAAATGCGACTTTTATTAAAGGGTACCCCGTTTAAATTTTTATTTCAAAATCGTTGACCCTTTATATTTCGGGCCCACATGAGATAGATAAGATGAAATTTTCAGCGAATATAGGTCTTATTATATATACTTCGAAATACTATGTATTAATTGTCATCGACACTTCAATACGGTTTGAGAAAATCCAGTATAATATTTTAGTCAAAATTTTGATTAAAGCCCAACTTTGAAGTTCAATAACTCAATTACTATATGAGCAATTGAGATCAAATTTAGCTTATAGAGAATTTAATGCTTTTTAGAACGGTATATAATTTATAATAATTTGCACCAATACAATCAACAGTACCTATTTGCAACAATCCATAACCAAGTCAGATTTTCAAAAAAATTCACCCACCCCAAAAATGAGATTTTCTTTTGGATATTTTTTCTCACTAACAAAGACATTTTAAATTAATGTTAAGAATGTTTCCAAATAATTGAGCTGCTCTATTGATTGGTAAAGTCAATATTGAGAAAAATTGACAGCTCGTACCTCTAGGGTGGTGTGGAAATTGAGCAAATTATTCAAGTTTACAAAGACGAACGCTACGCTGTCTTGGCAAATTCAACCAATAAGTACACTTTAAAATAAAACTTTTTTTTTAACGACGAATTTAAATTACAAATTTTTTATGACAGGGAAACACAATGACGAATAGTGAAACTTCTCCTAAATCTTGAAAATTTGTGAGAAATGACTACCTGACACCTAGAATCCAGAATGACCGATTAAAAATACACATCCTGGAAAATAAATTATAATACTAATTAAAATCTTTATAATAATAGTATACCTACTTAGAAAAAGATCAAAATCAATTATCGCGCTTAAAATAGATTAATTATTGTTGCAGCTAATAACCGCAAGCAGGTAAATATCCCGTCTCGCTATATTTCGAAATATCACAATAGTAGATATCAAATAATAAAATAAATATTTCAGGTTTTGGTTACATTTAGCTTAGATACGGATTTTATCAGGTAAGTAACTTTTTCGATAAGGATTTTGACGCGAATAGAAATTCATTGAAAACGTACCAGTAACACTTTTGAATGTTAGGTGAGCTGACCATTATTCACACACAAAAAAAATGCATTTTTTCTTAAAATTCATTAGCGTGATTGCTTTTAGTGTTTGCGTTCATGCATCTATTCCAGACTTAGCCACAAATGTAAGTAAATTAATTATTAAATAATATTTTTCAATTTTAAGTTAACTGAAAAATCGTGTTTTCAAACCTTTATCTAATATGTGCATTATTTTTGTTGGGTGCTTAAAAGCACTCAGACTTTTATCAATTTTATTGCTATTTATGTTAAATATCATAGGAGAAACAACGCAATTTTCAATTTTCCAGGAGTCGTTTTCATTAGAAGAAGAACAAAATTTCCGGCCTCCTCATTTCACTTTGCCCATTTACAAAGCTACCTTAGTTAACGATAAAATCGCATTTTTGGATGGTCCGGTTATAATGGATAATGCAAATGATGGAATGTATTTCATTATAACTTCTGGTAATGATTATTTCAACTATAAATCTGGATTTGAAATGTTATATGTGTAAATTTCAGATAACTATGAAGATTACTCCATTCATTTAGCAGATACAAACAAAACAATCCAAAAAGAACTACAGCTTGAAATGATTTCAAGTCTTCCTTTGACCAGGGAATTTGACGTAATCATCCTGGAAGCTCTGGACGAAGACTTGGTGCCCGTGTCCAGAACAACGGTTTTGCTGTTCAACTCCGACATGAGTTTCGACATGTACAGGATGACTTTCAAAGTGGACAGTCAGGAATACATTATTTTGAATTTCTTTTATTTCAAGTGCTTTTTGACCCTATTAACTGTTACAGGTTTATTGATTCTTTTTATAGAGTTGCACGAGATTGTTAAAAATGTTAAAGCTGCTAGGAAAAATCATAAATATCAGACTTTGGAAAATATATGAGGATTTTATCGAATGAGAATTTATTTATTGTCAAGGAATTGGCCCATACAATATGCCCTTTTTCTATTTTAGACTCTCAATTTTTTTAACATTTCTTTTGGAAGCTCCTGAAAAATGTTTAAAGAGATCAGAGCTCCTTCAAACTTTGAAGATTCATTAATGAAAGTTTTCTTTTTTTTATTAAATGAGATGAACTAGAAGTGAATATGAAGCTCAGAAATAGATTTATGATTTTTAATGAAAATGACCAGTTTGTCATTTACTACTGCTTGGATTTGGTTCAACCATAGAAGTCAATAATAATTAGAATGATCATCCCAACAAACTCATTGTAGAAGATAAGCTATTTCAAAAAGAAAAAATATTGAAACCTAATAATTATTAATATTTATATTACAATACAATTAAATTCGTTTATAAATCGGGTCTAACTCCAAACCCAGCCGCTGGTGGTTCTCCTTTCAAAGAAGTTGGTTCGCCAATAGGTTCAGCAGCAAACCTACCATTTCTAGGTCCAGGTTTTGGTTTCCTACCTTCCTTCAAATCGCACAAAATTTCCACGGTATCTTCAACAGTCAAATCTTCCTACAATAATGTTATTTACATGCTATTTACAAAGATTAAAATTGCATCAAACCTACATAGTAATCATCATTAATTTGTACCATTGGTGCATTAACACAAGCCCCCAGGCATTCAACCTCTGACAAAGTGAACATCATATCTTTGCTAGTTTCGCCGTTTTCCAATTTCAAATTTTCCCTGATGGTGTTCCAAATTTCATCAGAACCTCTGAGCCAACATGGAGTGGTGGTGCATACCTGCACATGATACTTACCAGTTGGCTTTCTATAATAACAATAAATTTATAAAAGTGAAGCTGTTTTTGTGATTATTACCTCATAAACATAGTGTAAAAAGTAGCAACTTCGTAGACTCTCATTTTAGGCAAACCTAAAATGTCAGCTACATGGTGCATAGCTGAAATCGGCAACCAACCGTGTTGCCTCTGAGCCAAATCCAACAACGGAAGCATTGCGGCTCTTTTGTGACCCTCTGGGTAAATTGCTAGAATTGCATCTGCCCTCTAGAATAATTTGAAGTGAGATTTGTTCATTGACTGAATAATTCTTGTGCTACCTTTTTATTCTCTGTGGTAAATTGAAAGGGAATATCAGGGTTGTCTTCTGGGGTGTCTCTATGTACAAACAAGTTGTCCGACTGTAAAGTGGATGTTGTTTGAAGGCTTCTGAGCCCCAAAGAGCGCCTCTATAAACATTGAAGTGGTGGGTGATTGGGTATTACATAATTTTGAGGGGGAGTTGAAAATATGCTTACCAAGCCATTGGCTACTGTTCTTAGAGTAGGAAGCATGTTTATTGATACGATATTTTGGATAATAGTTTTTAAATATCACTTTTCTTATATATTTTTATTTTCTTTTGGTGATTAAATTTTCCTGATAAAATAAGGTTATGTTGTCTTGAGTCAGGGTAAACGTCATGACAGAGGTGATTTCAAATTTATTCCCTCTAGGACGAGTACACTCTCGAAACGTGTTGTTTCTCTGTTTCTCGTCATAGGCTGGATCTGGTCTTGGTTATTCAACACGGAGTTGGAGTCAAGTCAGAGCAGTTTTTTGTCGGTGATGTTCTTAATACTTCGTTAGTTGTATTCCTTTCAAGAGTTTAAAACACTAGAGCTACTCGACCCCGATTTGAAAGGAACGGATGCGCTGGCTTTTAAATGGTTTGATTCGGGCTTGAGCACTTCAAAGCAACAAACACTTTTCGAAAGAAATAAGCGCGTAACGCCCCGGAGCTGTTCCGGACCTGCTCCTTGGTGTGAAAGGTAAATATACAACTAGACACTCCGACCATTAGTAACGCTCCCTTCACTTTAGAACACGCGACAAAAAAGCTGTTCTGACTCCATTCCAAGTTCGTGAAGAATAGTCGCATTAGGATTCGTTTTATTCCTTGAAATATTAGCGCTAGAACTTGCTAGAGCTTTTAGAACACTTATATTTATGTTCGTGTTTAGACACTCTATATTTAGTGTGATTTGTAGTGTTGAATTTTAGGAAAGTGTGGACAGAATTCGAATTCGAAAGCGCTTTTTTTCTGACACTTGTGACATCATAGCATCGGCAACACTGCTTTTTAACTGTTTATTTATTTATTTATATTTTTATTTACAAGAGAAAATCTGGATAATGTTTTTAATTATATAAAATCTCATTTATTACATAAGTTAGTTTTAAGCAAACAAAGATCTGTTACAAGTTCTTCTATGTGATTGATATTTTTTATATTTAGGTAAGTATTAACTTATTATTTTTCCACCATTTACCTACATTCTTGTAGTTGCTTTCCTTATCATTTTATCATAAAATCCTTATCAGTTCATTAACGACTGGTGTGGTAACATACTATCAGCTTTATACACTAATTATTCTGAGATTTGAAGCCGAAATCTATGAGAAAAGTCACTCAGAAAAATTGAAAAATGATAAATTTACCCCACATTGCTTAACATGATTTTATTTCTGAAACTATAAGTCCAAATGAGCTAAAATTTTCAGGGATTGTAGTCCTCTAATGGGACAAGAATCACTAAAAATTTTAGCTTTCTATCTAGAATACAAAAAAGTAATGATTTTTCAAAGTTTTCGAAAATAGAAATCATAAGGAAGGTACCTCAGTTCTAAAATGATGAAGTTTCACATTGTTTCATGTTGGGATTTTGTGCTTAAATGATCATTCGGGACCCACCAAACTCCATACACTAAATTATTCTGAAATTGGAAGCCGAAATCTATGAGGAAAGGCACTCAGAAAAATTGGAAAATGATAAATTTACCCCATATTACTTAACGCGATTTAATTTCTGAAAATATAAGTCCAAATGAGCTGAAATTTTCAGGGATTAGTTCTCTACTGGGATAAGAATCGCTGAAAATTTCAGCTTTGCATCTATTATGAAAGAAAAGTTATGATTTTTAAAAGTTTTCAAAAATAGAAATATTAGAAATCATAAGGTACTAAACTGATGAAATTTCAAATTTTTCATGTGTCTAAATAATCATTCGGGACCCCCCAAACTCTATACACTAAATAATTCTGAGATTTGAAGCTGAAATCTATGAGAAAAGGCCGAGGAAAAGGCACTCACTTGCTTAACGTGATTTTATTTTTTTGAAACTATAAGTCCAAATGAGCTGAAATTTTCAGAGATAAGTTCTCTACTGGATTAAGAATCGCTGGAAATTTCAGCTTTCTATCTTTAATAGAACTGGAGACATCATTTTTCAAAGTTTTCAAAAATCCAAATAAAAAGTTATTCAATTAATTCTGAATATCTGGCAAAATCCCTCAGACATGACATCCCATACATTTTTGCAATAATCTAGAAAAAAATACCATGATTTTCCCTCTACTATCAACACAAAGTAACAATTTAATCAAAAACTAGAAAAATTTCAAAAATCATCAATTCTTTTCAGATTGTGCCAAAAGTACTTAATCATCATGTGTTCGGGCAAGTGTTGTATCTTCTGCACTGTTTACACGTAAGTAATTAAATTTCCAACTGGATTTTGTACCTCGTTATCTGGAAATATTGTGACCTTTGACAAAATTTTGATGCAATAATGAAGCAATGTTTTCCTATTTTGATCATATTATAAATCAGGAAGCGTAATTATAAACCCAAAATTTTTTGCTTTTAGAGCTGTTCTGGTGTTCTTAGTTGGTCTTTTGTTGTTTGTAATCGTGCCAGTTATATTCATGTTTAGTGTGGGGATTCAGAAAAGTCTTGTTTTTCCAACATGTAAGTTTTTTTTCTATTATTAGAAAAAAAACCTTTAATCCAAAAACATTTTATTTAGATATAATAGAACCAAAAAACTATTCAAACTCGGAGGATTATGGGATAACAGGAGTAAGAAATATGTATATTGATGTCCCTAATGCTAATACTGAAAATGTAACATTAGGATTGTGGCAAATTTTGCCCAAAGAAATTGTTAGTGATATAATAAAAAACGACGAATATAATTTCGATGGGGTTTTGTCTAATGAAAAATACAAAATTTTATTGTACCTTCATGGTAATGGCTCTGATAGAACCAAATCTATAGAGCTATATGAAATTTTAAGGGAATTCTTCCATATATTTGCCGTTGATTATAGAGGCTATGGAGATTCTACAGGAAGCGATCTCACAGAAACTAACATGGTAAATGATATGAAATATATTTTTAAATGGATACAGGAAAGGAGCAAATCAAAAATTTTTGTTTGGGGACATTCATTGGGTACTGGAATAGCTACCCATTTAATTGCAGAGCTCAAAAAAGAACATATCAATTCTACTGGTTTAGTATTAGAGGCCCCGTTTACATCAGTGATTGATGTTATGAGAACCCATCCTGTAGTCAAGGTACTTAGAAGTAAAACCCATTATTTCTTAATGAATTTATAAGAAGTTTTTTTTTTTTGTAATAGTTTTATTCAGTTCTTCCATGGACAGAAGCCACAATATTGAATCCTATAAAAACTAACGATATGAATTTTGATTCTAAAAGCTATATTACAGACATAGATTGCCCTATAATGATATTGCACGCTGAAGATGATGAAATTATACCTTACAATATTGCTACAGAGGTAAATTCTAATATTGCATAATGCAAAAATAATCTGATTTTTTTAGTTATACTACACTGCTATTAATAATAGAAATTCTACATATCAAGGCGATGTTACTTTTCATTTGTATCCTCCCAAAGGCAACGGTCATATGTTGTTGTATTTGGAACCTGATCTCTCAAAGCAAGTCAGGTATACTTGGGTATTTGGAAAAATTGTCTTGTGTTTTCTAGAATTTGATTTTTAGATCGTTCATTGATCAGTGTCTCGATTTTAGCAAGAAAAATCTCTGAAGTGGCTACAATAAATCACTGTGATAACTTTTGAGATTGGATCGTACAAAATAAGTTTTAAAAATTGTGTATTCCTTTTTATTATTGTATTATGAAATAGTTCAATCCTCTTTTTATTGAATAAAAAAAAGTATATGTGTAAGTAGCTTGAAGATTTTTGCTTTTCAATTTGCCTCCTCTCTAGTGTAGAGAAATTTAGGCATAAAAAAAAATTAGGAGCCTGGAATAGGTAGATAATAATTGAGTTGAAAAAATAAGGAATTGAAAGGCAAAATTTAGGATTAATGTTTTTGAGGCACTCAAGTGCAAAGTACCCCAATTGGGAAAAGCCTCTCTAGTCAAGTCTCCTCCCAGTGCAAACTACCTTTATTGGGAAACACCCTTCTGGACCTGTCTCAAACCCAGTCATCAGTCACGTCAAGTGTACATAATACAGAGTGGCCTAAGTAGTATGTCCCTCCGTAGAACAGACGTCATGGTATTATTCCTAGGGTAATATTATTCTATATATTCAATACATATCTTATTTTGCCCCCAGGGTATGCTCCTGTTGTGACGTCTCAATATGAAACGTATAGGGGTTTGTTGTGACAATAAACAAAAATAAAATTTAAAAAAAATCTTTATTCCAAACTAGTCCGCAAATACTGTACAAACAATTCAGGAACCTTATCTAAATCAGGAGTATTCATTTTTGAGTAAATCAAATACTGCCTCCTCAACTGCATCAATTGAGGCACGCTCATCACAGATATATTAATAGCAACATTACTTCCGGAGACTTTAAACTCCTCCTGGCCACTCTTTTTAGCTTTTATAAGCTCATCTGTGATAGTTTTCGTCATACTGTCCAAATCGTACAAGAAATTCGTTGAGCTCAGTGGTGGGTTTTCTGTTGCTTGATTCGGTTTTGGGGGAGCCTTTTTGAAAAGGCTCAAATAAATCGGAGTGGGGTCTAAAATCGACTCTGGATAAATTGTAAATAGGGGACTGTCCCAACGGTTTTTGCCATCAGGATCTTCGTATCTCATTACTAGGGCGTCAAATGTTTCTCTGCTGTACTTTTCCTGGTCGTTTTGCCTTGCCTCGTTGTACCCCCACGCTTGTTCTCTATTGATTTCCGTATGTACTGTACACTGTGTGCTTTTATTGGCTTTGGTGCCACAAAACAACTCGTACCTATAGCCTTTAATGTAATTAGGCCCATCTAATATAACTACATTGGTAGGGGAAATAATTTTGAGCATTTCGCTTCTTAGGAGGCCCCTAATGTGCTTCTCTTTGTTGGAATCTTTGTAGAAAGCGTTTATTTCGAAGTTGGCTTTGATTATTTGATCGTATTCGCTTATTATGTGGACTTCTTTACCTTGTTCTTCGAAGAACTTTTTTAGTTCGTGAGCGCGGGTTGTTTTACCACTGCACGGGACACCTGTTAGTACTATCAAAGGCATTTTGATTGCTTTTATACGGATAAAATTAATATAAATATAAATAAACTACAAAAATAAACAAATTTATGTAAATAATTGAGGTTAGATTTACTTGGCACGTGTTCTAGAGTAGAAGAATCCGAACGATTCGGAACTGTTGGAGCAAAAAAATATTCAAATGATTTTCAATGTACCGGCTACAGATACATAATAATTATTATTGTTATTATTATTTTTATAACCTAACAAGGGTACTATTGGTAAAAAGGTCTAGAGTGAATTTTTTCTCGAGTTGGAACTTTTGGAGTTACTCTATAGTAGGCCATTGTTCAAACAGCCGGAATGCCTACTACGGAGTACTTAGAGTGCACGGAGTGAGCAAGCTGAACTCAATTCATATAATTTGATATTGGAAATTATTAATAATTTGAGATTGTTTTCTTTATTGGAATATTGGCATCGTTCAGTAGCTGGTCAAGTAGGGCAAGGGTTTTCTTGTAGGCCCTTATTCTCGAAACCAGAGAGCAGCGTTCTCATGAGAACGAAGATTCTGTTGCAGGGATTGGCTTGAAATTTTGCAAATGAAGAGGGAAAAGAATGAGATCTATGAAAAAAATTAAAAATTTCCTTCTGTTGATCCACCTTAATAATAATCCTAATAAAAACACTTTGAAGCTTCACAGCTTGAAAACTATCGAAGCTGCGTTGAAACTACCAAATACAGATTTGTAGAGGATTCAATTGCTCCTAATACGAGCTTAATTATATCAGAATCGGATTGAAACCAAAAAAGTTGTGAGCCACGTGAGCGAAAATGTGTGTCAATGTCATTTTGGAAAAAAAATCAAAATTACAAAAAATGACAATGGGTACATTCAGGCGGTCCCAGCGGCTTAGCTCAGCTTCTCAGCAGGAACTTTATTCTCGAAACCAAGGAACAGCGTTCTCATAAGAACGATTGATTACTCTGTCATTGTCAGTGTTATGCTGGACGACAAAGACAGAACTTTCGTTCCAATGAGAACGCTGTTTCTTGGTTTCGAGAATAAAGTTCCTGCTGAGAGGCTGAGCTAAGCCGCTGGGACCGCCTGAATGTACCCAATGAGAAGGTTTAATTTTGCTTTGAGGAAAATTTTCCAGGGATTGGATTGAAATTTTCAAATGGAGAGAGAAAAGATTGAAATTTATGAAAAAATTAACAATTTCCTTCTGCTCAGCCACCTTGGTGAAAATCTGAATCGAAATACTTTCAAGCTTCACAGCTTGAAAACTATTGAAGCTTCAGTGAAACTACCAAATAGAGATTTGTAGTGGATTCAATTGTCCCTAATTCGAGCCTAATTACATTAGGATAGGATTGAAATTGAAAAAGTTGTGAGCGAAAATGTGTGTCAATGTCATTTTGGAAAAAATCAAAATTACAAAAAATGACAATGAGACGGTTTAATTTTGCTTTGAGGAAAATTTTGCAGGGGTTGGATTGAAATTTTGCAAATGGAGAGAGAAAAGACTGAAATTTATGAAAAAATTTAAAAATTTCCTTCTGCTCAGCCACCTTGGTGAATATCCGAATCGAAATACTTTCAAGCTTCACAGCTTGAAAACTATTGAAGCTGCAGTGAAACTACCAAATAGAGATTTGTAGTGGATTCAATTGTCCCTAATTTGAGCCTAATCACATTAGGATCGGATTGAAATTGAAAAAGTTGTGAGCGAAAATGTGTGTCAATGTCATTTTGGAAAAAATCAAAATTATAAAAAATGACAATGAGAAGGTTTAATTTTGCTTTGAGGAAAATTTTGCAGGGGTTGGATTGAAATTTTGCAAATGGAGAGAGAAAAGATTGAAATTTATGAAAAAAATTAAAAATTTCCTTCTGCTCAGCCACCTTGGTGAATATCCGAATCGAAATACTTTCAAGTTTTACAGCTTGAAAATTATTGAAGCTGCAGTGAAACTACCAAATAGAGATTTGTAGTGGATTCAATTGTCCCTAATTCGAGCCTAATTACATTAGGATCGGATTGAAATTGAAAAAGTTGTGAGCGAAAATGTGTGTCAATGTCATTTTGGAAAAAATCAAAATTACAAAAAATGACAAGGAGAAGGTTTAATTTTGCTTTGAGGAAAATTTTGCAGGGGTTGGATTGAAATTTTGCAAATGGAGAGAGAAAAGATTGAAATTTATGAAAAAAATTAAAAATTTCCTTCTGCTTATCCACCTTGGTGAAAATCCGAATAGAAACTAGTTTCAACTAATGAAATTCACTCTGACTTTGTAATTTCTGTGGGAACAGACCTTACATTTTCATAACACTCATAAATAGTGATGGAACTTGAACATCGATGTATCGTGAACATCGATGTTATTGCTTTCGATATTCGATGTTTTAGCATCGATGTCAGAAGTTACAAAACATCGACATATCGATGTTTGAACTATCGATATTGGATATTGCGAAAAGTACGCCAAACTGGCCAAACCTACACTCAGAAAAGAAATATATTGAAAGGGCAAGGAAAAAATTATTAGCCTTGGTATTTGCACAGTTTGTTGTAGGTCGTATTTTCTGGAAACTCTAGGAGTTTTGGTGTTTATAAAATTTGATTCCTATTCATCCTGTAATTATTTTATTCGTGTTTTTGCTTTTTGTTCAGACGAAGGTTTTTTCTTGTCTTGTATAAGTCTTGTATCTTTGTTTTATAAATATTAATGAGCTTTCAATCAGTATTTTTACAAGGACACCAAAAAGTAACCAGAGAAACGTAATCTCAACATTGAACATCGATGTTTCGAATCATCGATATTTTTCAATCGATGTTTTATTGACATCGATAGTATCGAGCGATGTCACAACCGATGTTCAACATCGATGTCTGAGCACCGATGTCACATCACTACTCATAAAGATAGAGAAATCGTTCCTATTCCCAGTATTCCTCGGTTTCGAGAATAGACACCCTAGTGATATGCACGAATGCTTTTTAAAAACGTCCCTAAGATGTCCACAAGCCACATTTCAAGACGTGTCCTTTAAAGGTCTGTACGTCTTCAAGATATCTCGAGAACGTCGTATATTACAAAACCCCCAACGTCTTTGAAACGTCTGCTTAAAAACGTCTTATAACATTTTTACAAGATTGGCTCATTTGTCTTTAAGATGTGAATTACAACATGTTATGGACGACTTTCTTTGGTCTTCGGAAACCAATTTTTGAAATAAAAGCATTTGTGCATACCACCTTTTTCTATACTCTCGAGACAGGGGAGAACGAAGGCTTTCTCTTTGTCACCCATATTTATATTTCCATAACACTGACAAAGACAGAGTAATCGTTTGAGGATTCGGCCATCAAGGAGATAAATTCTATGATAAATTATACGCCAAGTGTATCAAGAATCACTTAGTTTTCAATTAAATGCTGAGATAAGTCAATAGTTAGGTAAGACAGTGAGTTGTGATTCTAGAACCTATTGAAATTGTATCAAAGTATGATCGTCTTGCTTATTTGGTAAAGAAAATTTAACAATTCTGTTCAGCGTGGAGAATGCGCATTTCAATTTAGACCAAGGTTATGCCCCTAGATGGCAACACTATTAGAAAAAGCAATTATTTCAGATTGTCCTTTGTATTCCAAATTTTGGAGAAGAGCCTGGAAAGAACCTTTTCCAATATTAAAAAGAATTTGCTTCTATTCTCGAAAGTATCAACCATATTCGCATTGGTTTTTGGTTCTTTCAAGCTCCAAAAATTAATCATTTATCCAAAAAATTGTATTTCTTCTTCAATTCGTATGAAAAATGCTTCGAAACTGATTATCTATTTCTACAAAGAAACACTCTAAGTGCACATGAAAATAATATCAAAGTAATTTAATCTTCCAAAACGATCCAATCAATCGTGAAAGGAAAAGACCTCTCTCTATACAAGTCAAGACCCGTTTCCCTCTTGCTCTTGGCCGACGAACAATCTCTCTGCTCTTTTTATCTGTCATCTCTTCTCTCGACAAGAGAAGTTCTGCTCGGCTGGGCAACTTTTGGGCTCCGCTCGACGACGACTTGGGCGCTTTTTATCCGGGCTTGGGCTCTCGTTAAACCCGTCCCTTTCCCTTTTTTCCTTTTGGTGCGGTTCTATTTTTAAAAACGAGTTGGGTTGGCCCTGACGTCGCTCTTTCTGTGTGTGTGTGAGGGGAGTCGAGTTCTTTATCCTCGGGTGCCTAGGGAACAAGTTACGAAATATGTATTTGAGATTTGAGCGAATTAAATTTACGAAGAGGAATTTTCTAAGCAGTAATGATGGCTTGATTCTTTTTCTGAAGCATTTTCTGTAATAGGGTTTTTGGTTTGGCTTCCGGAATAATCTGGAACTAAAAATATTTAACAACAATTCTAATTAATTGAATAAGTTGCGCGTTGCTTGAATTTTTGAAGAAATTGATAGAAGGCTCTATAGATGCACTGAATTCATATGATTATTAGTCTAAGAGCAAATTTTTAATAAAAGGGTTTTTTCTTGTGTCGATATATGCATCCTGAGGATGATCTAATTTAAATTGAAACGTACCTACCTAGGAAAATGAAGGAATATATATATATATATATATATATATATATATATATATATATATATATATATATATATATATATATATATATATATATATATATATATATTCTTCTGCATGTATTTTCCTAAGTTATTTAACAAAATTTCATAATCAAGGAGACATCAATAGGACAAAAACTTTAATTTGTTTAGTTAATTAATTACATATTATAAGTACTGAGAATTTACTCAGCTATTTCTTCATACAATAATTGTCTTGGATACAACAAAACTGCTTGTTGATGTATAAAAATAGATAAATACAAAGATCAGAGATAATAATTTTGTATTGATGAATATAGAGAATGATGAGGCACCAAAACTGATAAAAATGTAATTAAGATAACGAACAAGGAAAACGTTTTACTTATATTGTAGAATTCATCATCTACAATTTTAATCGAACAACATGC